GAAGGGACAGAAATACGGGACAGGATGGAGGTGGCTGCTTGATTTACATTGCGAGCCATATTTGTTATTCAAGGCTCAAATCCCTAGAGCCCCCTGATGTTGAATTAATCTGGATCAAAATTATGCATAATTCGTCTGCGTTGATATTAGGAAATTGTTATCGACCTCCTTCTGACTTCCAGTTCTACGAACGATTTTGTGACTGTCTGGAGAAAATGTGGCTTAGGCACAGGAATGTGGTGCTTGTCGGTGATTTTAACTCGGACTATTTTCGTAGCTACAAGGGTGTTACATCATACGCCGGTAGAAGATTACAAGATATACTCCAGCAATTCAGCTATAGCGTAATGAACGATAGGAGCCAGCCAACAAGAGTTACAAGTGAGACAAAAACACTGATTGACTTGGTTATTACCAGCAAGCCGGAGATTATCAAAGGAACTATTAAAACAACTGAGTTGGGAATCTCAGATCATAAGCTGGTTCTTGCTACAATATGGTCCAAAATAAAAAGGCCGCCTCCAAAGATAGTCAGGGCCCGCACCTTCAAAAGATTTGATCAAGCTACTTTTGTGAAGGATATCGAGAGTGCCCCGTGGTCAGTATGTTCAGTGTTTAACGATCCAGACGATTGCTATTGGGCGTGGTTACGCATATTCAAAGATATCTGTCAGGTGCATGCGCCTTACAGGGAAGTTAAAATTAGGAGCGTCTCGGTACCTTGGATAACACCGCAAATACGGCACTTGATGAATAAACGTTTCAAAATGCTTAAAATGGCACAACGTCTAGGTGATCCAGACCTGTGGGCTGAGTATTCGGAGTTGCGGAATAGAGTGACACGGGAAGTGAGGCTTTCTAAGAGCAGATACTATTTGGAACTGTTCGATGAAGTGAAGGATTGTAAATCCTACTGGAGACTGGTAAAAAATGCGACAAACGGCAAATCGATTACCCCGATATTAGGGATCAGGAATGCGGATGGAAAAGTTGTCACCTCCGATCTGGACAAAGCGAACATACTTAATGAACATTTCTCAACTATAGGCGAAAAACTGGCCAACGAATTGCCGAATACCAACTCGACACAAAGTAACGTTCATGTATCTACCGTCGCGCCTTGTGTTATGAACATAAATTTATCGCAGGAGGTTATTGTTAGTTCGATGGCTAAGTTGAGAGCCGATAAAGCCTCTGGGCCCGACAGAGTTGCTCCAAAACTTTTAAAGTTTGCCGGTGACTCAATTATTCCATCTTTATTGTCTGTTTTTCAAATAAGCGCCACCTGCAACAGTGTACCGGCTACTTGGAAGGCTGCAAACATCTCAGCTCTCTATAAAAGTGACGATGAAACCGTTAAGCAAAATTACAGGCCTATCTCGCTATTAAGTGTACCAGGAAAACTGATGGAGTCTATGGTGGCGTCAACTATTACCACGCATGTCACTGAACAAGGACTTGGGAACCCTCACCAGTGGGTGTATAAAAAAGGTCATTCCACCGAGCTGTTGTTAGTGAAAATAACGGATGACTGGAGACAAGCGATCGACAAGAAACATGTTGTAGGCGTGGTTTTTGTAGACTTTCGTAAGGCGTTTGAAGCAATTCCCCACTCCATTCTGCTCCGAAAACTTCAAAGTCTTGCTGTAGCTGGGGACTTGTGGTGTTGGATAAGAGATTACCTCTCTGGAAGAACGCAAGTAACGACGATTAATGGGTGTCAATCTCAAGCTATGCCAGTTACTTTTGGTGTACCTCAAGGGTCGGTGCTGGGCCCTACCCTGTTTTCCATCTTCTGTAATGATCTGCCCAATATCACTGAGGGAATAGATGGTGACCCACAGCTTCACATGTACGCAGACGATACCACCGTCTATGTCTCAGCTCCGACCTATGATCTGGTGGCCTCCAAGTTGAATGAAGTACTAGCAAGGCTATATACATGGTGTTGCGAGAACTGTCTCACTCCACATCCCACCAAGACGGAATATATATTGCTTGGTGGACGCGGAAAATTTACTGGGCCAAAACAGCTATTAAGATAGGTGATTATGTTGTCGGGGAGGTTGTTTCTGCAAGATGCCTAGGTGTTCAGATAGATAATGCTCTTAAATGGGATCATCATGTATCGGAATTAGCTAAGTCATATACGCAGAAGTTGAATTTACCTAAATCCTTGTATTTCCTTCCTATACAGGCAAGAATTGATTTCTATTTTAAGGTTATTCTGCCGTCTGTGACATATGGTATGTTAGTTTGGGGCTCTTGTGGTCGAGTATTTTTCTCAAGCTTAGAATCTATACATGTTAGAGCGGCGAAAATAATATTTAACTTGGATTGGTGTACTCCAAGCAAGGAGGTTCTTGCCACAGTAAAATGGAATACCTTAGAGATTATGTATGAGAAACGATTACTAATCTTAGCGCATCAGGCTTATTATAATCTTTTGCCACGTCCTATGAGCCGTCACTTTGAAAAGTATGTAAGTAGCTACGACTTCAGGAGGAAAATGACATTTAAGTTACCTAGACCTAAGACCGATATGGTCAAGAAATCATGCTCATACAAGTCAATTACTCGGTGGAACGCTCTGGAAAATCAAATGAGATCAATTCAAGACGTTGACGCTTTTAAAAAGTCACTCAAGTGTATTTTTAAGCCACGTATGTTATAATGATGTACTATGTAGAATTTTTATTGTTGAAAATATGTAGAAATCTTACACTAGTCTTCTTATAATTAGTTAGGAATTTAGTTTTATTGGATTTAGTTAGGAATTTAGTTTTATTGTCCGTACACGACCACATCAGCTTTTGCTGAATTTTTTATCGTGTTTAAATAAATGCTGTTGTTGTTGTTGTTGTTGTTGTACTTGTTGTTGTAAGGATAGATTGACTTTTCGGAAAGTTATACCGAAAGAAAGCTGCTGTAAGCACATCACAGTGACCCAGGAACGTCTCGCACTCAGACCTTTAGACCCCACCGCTCCTTCTAAAATGTTGGAATTGAAACATTTGGACACCAAAGTGATGGTCTACATGACGCTTTTGCAGGGAAGAGTTGTTTTTGAGGCTGTACAATAAACTATGGCCGTTAGCCTCCGATGGTTTTCAATCAAAAAAAAAACCGAGAAGAAATCCTTTGACTCTAAGTTTGCTGCGCTATTAATATAATGAATTAAAATAATGATATATGTTAATTAACCCATGAGCGAGTTAGTCCATCAAAGTTAAAGGCATGCGAAGTAATTATGCCCACAAACTGAAACGTGCAGCATGTCATCGGCGAGATGAATGAATAATAATCTTTTCCATTATTTTATGCATACGAACAGATGGCATACTAACTTTAGCTGCCAGTTGATAAAACAGAAGTTTGATTAGACAACTTTCATTTAACAGAGTTCAAAAAGAAATTATCATTCTGAACATCAATTATTTTTAGCTACTTCTTTACAAAACGTCAACTACAAAAAGTGTTTTAATGCCATGAGGTTTTTCGATTGTATTAAGAAGAACAATGCTCCGCATCTGATTGCTTTATGTCTATTGGTCCATTTTTGACAGAAAAATAAAAATGGAGACTAACACCATGAATATGCGATCGCATATAATGATTGCATTAAACTCAAACTCCTACGAAAGCGTTTCATGAGGATGCTACAAATTCAAAACTCTCAAGCGGGGTGAATCAAATTTAAGTGCAACGATAGCTCCTAAGAGCAACCTTTGCATATCTTGGGCGTGATGAAGTGGACGATAAATGGAGCTGAATCCGGCGAAATTTTCAAAACCCTTTTAATATGTTGTGTGCTGGGTAAGTACGACGCTAGTTATTCCGCGTTGTTCTGCTCTAGCTACGAAACCGTCGAAACTAACTTTCCAATTTGTGAAATATTTATTTCCGTTTTAACCTACGGAACTCTAAGAACGAAACTTACCAAACTCTACACATGTCCTTTCTAAACTACTTGTAAATCATTATGGCAAAACTTTGGGATCTTTGTATTATCATAATTATCATTATTATTAGTTTCTCGATATTAATCACTTTCCTTACAATGCCGAATGATTGAAAAAGTGTAAAGACAGCTTACTGACAGCAACTTATAATAATTTCGTGAGCTTAATGAATTGTATGATCAGTTCAACTAAATCCATCAAATTGTGAAAAACTCATTTTAAAAGTTGTGCGCCAGGTAAGTACCACCTTAATAATATCTTGACTTTCCATTTGCAAAACATTTATATCAATTTTGGAATGTCCCGTGAAATTCAGCCAAACCAAACAGAGAAAAGATGTCAGGTGGCGGAGAGTTATCTCTGTTAACTAAAACATAACAAACCAGACTCTAAAGATATCCGCATTAAACTCTTAGTTCATAATCAGAGAAGGATCTCTGATAAATTGGATTCCTGAAGCCTTTCAGATTCCTTATAGTCCAAAGTAATTAGAGATCAAATAGCATAGGCGAGACATTCATGCGGTGGCATACGTTATGGTTGTCTGCACAACAGTTTTGGCAGTCATATTTAGGATAACAGGAACACAATAGCTTAGTTTTTATCTTTCTAATGCCACAATGACAAGATGTCAAAGGGTAAAACGTCTACTCTTCAGATAGCTGCTGAACGTTGGACGTGCTTAGACAAGAGATCGAACTTAACCATCAGGGTCCACTTAAAATGGCATTAGGTTAGACAGATGCAAAGTTTAACATTTGATCAGGTATTTGGAAAAAAATGGTCGAATTGGTGTACTTTTTCCTTTCTTATCGTAAATTCAAACACCATTAGTAATCATGAATTTCGATAGCTGATTTTCTGAATAAGCTGAGGGGGTTAAATTGCAAAGACGATGTCCTCTCTTCTCTAGAGCAAATAGCGTATTGCAGTTTTCTGAAGAAGATACCGGCTGATCACTTCTTGATTTGAAAGTGTTTGAAAGTAAGGATACGTAAAGATAAGAATGATTCAACTCTATGATGAGCTTATTTTTCCAGCTATATATCAAGTACAAACAGCAACTTCATCACCGCAACTTCCTACAGGATCAAAAAAGACCTCTAAAACAGAAGAATTGGTAGGTATTGCTTAAACATACCCTGATGACATGCATACACAGTGTCACACTAGTTGCTGTAACATGCAACTCATTTTCAAATATGATCATTTTCAAATATGATCATTTTCATGATATGTCACTTTTAATTTATCATAATAATCATCAATATCATTGTCATGATCGCTATCTTTTTTATGATTATTTTTCTAGTATTATTTCTGCTTAGGGATGATTTTGCTCTGTATTATCTGGTTTTCTTTCTGTTTGTTTGTTTTTTTTTTCCGTTGGTTTGTTTGGTTCTTGTTTGTTGTTTTGTTTGTTGTTTTATTTGTTTCTTTGCTTGCTTTTTTGCATATTCTTTCAAGAATTTAAAACAGTGAGTTGGATGTGTCGAGATAACTTTAATGGACGAGCATTTAGTATCTGTTTCATACTCTTTCGCACTAATTTGATATGTCATCTTTGCTACAGACAAATAATTTTACCTTGGCATTGAATAAAACAGATATTCAACAAGGTAGCTCTTTGCAGGTATGTTGAAGTTTTGCATTCTATTTATTAAATTTCTTAGAAAAACCTTTTTAATTTTCAACTTTACTCAATCATCATCATTCCTTGTACCTACTGTTGGTTATAATCTATCTGATATTCCTGCTCGCACGCAATAGGTCTAAAGGCGTCACGTAATAGCATATGCCCAAAAAAATAGTAATAACAGAAAAGTAATCATCAGCAGTTATCTTAAGGTAATGATAACGAAGAAACACTTTGTTCATTGAATTTCATTCCATCCTTTTGCAGAACGTCGTCGATTTGTTGCGAGATACTCTGGCCAAGTACAAAGATATATCCTTTACAGAAGTTAAAAAAAATGTTATAACCGAGCGGAAACGGATAGAGTTGATACACAGAACGGTAGATGCCTTTCAGACCTTTGCTCTGAAGTATGGCTGGTACCACCTCAACGAATCAAGGCCAGTGTTAAGGGAGAAATATGACAGAATACGTGGTAGGCTTAAGGTTGTTTGTCTGTTTTTTTTAATGTTGTTATGTTTTGTAATGGAGAAGAAATTGAACATCCTAAATGACATACGAAAATGAAGTCATAGTGGGACACATAATTTTGATCCTATAACTGCGCTTGATAGCGTATGATGGAAACCTTATATGATATACAAAAATGAAGTCATACCAAGATGGAGACTAAGCTTTTTTTTTGTTTTTTTTTCAGCTATTAAAACCTCTTTTAAGTTTCTGGTAACTAATTCGTACCACTATCAGTTTTAAGAGTCTGCTGGTACTACAGACACTCATCATAGGCATACATAATTGATCTCATAAAAGTAGTGGCGTAATGCATGTGGAAGTTCAGGGATGAACTCGATAGGGTATGAGAGTTATATCGCACATTGAATATAACAAATATTTAATATTATTCTCATTATATTCTATGATATTTCTGTTAGGTATTTTTAAACCACATCATTCGTCCTTTATAACAGTTCGTATTCGGAAGAGTCTACCACGGGATTTTGACGACTTTCACCTCGGTGAATCATTTAGTGAAACTATCAAAATCTCATCCAATAACTTTAATAGAAACGGTAGGTATTTGACTTTGATGTGCGAAGAAAACTTTTACCACGAGCTTTAATAAAATGATCTGCATAAATTGGGACGGGGGCAAACTTGACTCTGATCTTGAACTTAGCTAAATGCTTTTGTTTTTGTTGCAGTCGCTATTGTTGTAGTTTTCAAAGGTTTCTTGAATATTCTATTTAAATCTATGAAGCTTTCCATAGTTTTTTTTCCATCAGTGAGTGGGGCAGGAGGGAAGCAAAATAGCCCAGAACATAAGTATTTGATCCTTTTACTTGTAAAGTTCAATCACACACTGAAAATAGAACTCTATCCCAACAATGTGACAAGTGACATTTTCTAAAGAGTAAATCTTCTCGAAAATTCAAGGAAAATAACGATGGGCTATGTATTGCTGAAAGTTTTGGAGCTTTCGAAAAAGTCATCAATATTCTCACGTAATTGTATCTTTTAAAATGTTTTTATTATCTCATCTACCTGGACAGGGAGTACGATACACTCGCAGTCCATCTAACTCAAGGATACATCTTGAATTGCTTTTCTGTTTTTCCTTTAAGGTTCAGTGATTGTCGGAATCATATTCAAAGGCCTACATGAACTGTTAAGAAGGAGAGAATTTAATAATGCTAGCTTAAAGAAAAGGAGGTAACATGATCTGTACGTGTATGTTGATTAAGATTAAAAATCATCCATTCAGAAAATCTCCATAAAATCTTTGACTTCCTGGGCATAGTCGCGTTTAAAAACTGCCAGATCAGGAATTATATTATGCCTCACATCGTTCTTCTTCATAGTATTCAACGTTTCGTTGTTGCATCTAAGTGACAATTATAATGAAAGAGGCGATGGCGGAAGGAAGAAAAAAGACCCACTGACAATGATTTTCGAGAGATAGTGGTAATGATGATCAGATAAAGAAAATGATAAGTTTTAGCCCTCCATGAATTGCAGCTGAGGAAGACTGGTACTAAACTAATAAAACCGCTCGGGAGTGAAAAAGCCGATAAAGGCAACATTCCTTCTTCTGCACTGGCTAGCGTCTACCCTGAGATTTTTTTTACAGGTTCATAAGGGATAATTCTATTGATCCGATTGGATTGTTTCTTAAAGCGAGCCCTACTCGATGGTTTTGTTTCTTTATCATTCAGGCGTCTTAACAGCTTGGTAATAGCAGTCGCAATGGATCCGAAGCCGACACTTTTGATAAGAAATGCCGTCATGAAGTTTAGAAATCAAAAGGCAAGAAATCTACATAAAATTGAAATTATATGACATGTATGATGAAATATATCAACGACTGAAAAAAGGAAAAATGGGTACATGGAAAGAATACTTTACTTTTATATTAATGATTAGATTTCCTGAAAGTATTAACTGTTGGGCTGAATGAAACAGTATCTTATTCATTAGTCTCTTGACGCAACCAGGCATTGTGTGTTTTGGAAAGGATTTGATTCCAAACGGTAAGCATGATTATTTTGTGGTAGTCACACAGTATTTTGTAGTACTAAATTAAAACTTCTGTCCTCGGCGAACGTGTCCATTGTATGACCTAAAACATGTTTAGCGACTGTCCGAAAATATTAAAGTGCCTCAGGCAGTCGATTCACGGCACATCATTTTTCACCTTCATGTGAGAATTTCGTCAATTATATTATCTCACTGTATCTAATTATTTTTGGTTGGTTTTCCCATTTTGTTTCTTTTTTCTTTTTTGGATTATTCTGAAAGACTTTGATATAATGGATGTCTTGGTGGCCATCCTAGATAATGCAATGTTTAGAGTAAGCTATAATGCTTAACTTCCTCACCCACTGCCACTACGTTCCTTGGCTCATCTTTCTAATCTTGCATAGTGAATAAGATGCTATCTTTCAAAAGATGGGGGATTTCTAAGGGCTTAGTCGTCGTAAGAACCTAAATGCGCCCCATGATTCTTTCCTTGGTTAAACCCCAGCACATGGGCGACTAAAATGACAGGCTGATGAAATTTGATGACTTCAAGCAGCAGAGCCAAACTTTCGATAAATAGTTAAGGGAAGATGTCATATATTCGTCGCTTCATGTAAAAAGCTAACATGTCGCCTATTTTTAGTATTGACGGGTGGTCAGATGAGGGATGTCACGTATCTAAAAGAAAATCAGAGTACACAGAGTGCAGCTGCAACCATCTGACTCACTTTGCAGTTTTGTTCGACTACACAGCAGAGGTAATGGTGTTTGTCTGTTCATAATCCACAACATTTGTTTCATGATAATCATGGCAAATCACCATGTTACATAACTACCCACTCCTTCCAGATTTGAGGTTAATTTGAATATGTTTTCAGATTTTTCACTGTTATCATATTTACTTAAAGCCGGGAAGAACATTTTTACTAACGGGGCTGTTGTGCTATTTTATATTGTAAGAAAAAAAAAATATATATATTTACATTTTTTTTAGTATGTCGTCATTAGTTTTATTTTGCTTTCCTTTTGCCTGTTATTACAATGAAAAAATAGACAGAAAAAGATGAGAAGATATTGACGATTCTCACTTACGTGGGACTGATCTTGTCGCTCATTGGAATAATTCTTACTTTAGCTTCTTATGCTCTCCTCACGTAAGTAAAATGTTTTTTTCCTTCTGTTATGGAATTATTTTACTACACTTGGTACTCTCCAACTCTGACCTATTTATTTTTATTTTCATTTCTCCTAGTTTAGTTCCTTTCCTTCTCAGTTTTGATAGTATTGTACAGTTTCTTACTTGATATAAATGGTATTGATCTATTTTCCTATTTTTGTCTATCAATACAGTCTATGAAGTGAATGAAAGTGATCCTCGCAGTGATGTGCACTACTTAGGCAGTAGTGAAAATAAGGCCTGAAAAAAATTCAGGCCTGTACGGGATTTGAACCCATAACCTCTGCGATACTGGTGCAGCGCTCTACCAACTGAGCCAACAAGCCAACTGAGAGCTGGTCATGATGGCGGTTCTAAATAAACCCGTGAAGTGATGAATAGACGGGTTTATTTAGAACCACCACCAGCTCCCAGTTGGCTTGTTGGCTCAGTTGGTAGAGCGCTGCACCGGTATCGCAGAGGTTATGGGTTCAAATCCCGTACAGGCCTGAATTTTTTTCGGGCCTTATTTTCACTACTGCCTAAGTAGTGCACATCACTGCGAGGATCACTTTCATTCACGTCTTTATCCGCAGTTCAAATATATGACTTTCATATAATCTTAACCGTCAATACAGTCTATATTTCTTTTCGTTATCACTAGTGATGTGCATCAGCCGCTGTCTCAAGTGAGGTTAAGTCTCGTTGCCTCATTGGGACTTGGCCAGATAATGTTTCTTGCCGGGATAAATGCCACACAGGTTAAGGTAAACGCTTGTTTTTTTTCTTTGTTTTGTTTTTTTATTGTTTTTGTTTATTGTTTTTGTTTTTTGTTTTTTAAAAAGTACAACTTAAAACAAAGTCAGTAAAATCTTTTTTAGCTATTTGGAAGTGAATTCAAAAGAGGAGTGTTGGCTCTAGTCGCATTTTTGAGAATTTGAACAGATTTATGCTTCTTGTGATTATTATTGATCACAGCTTGACAACTATCGGTTTGGACGGAAAGGGGGAGGGAGGGGGCTTGAGAAATTGTCATAACAAGCAGGTGTTTATGAAGTAACAGATTCATGTTGGCATGATCGAGACTTGATTAATAAAAAATTAACTTGTGGGGAAAATAAAGGCTATATTTGATATAAAATGTCGAAAGCTATTAGAAAAGCCTTTTAAAAAGGAATACTTATTAACAATTTACCCGAAATAGAAATAAAACAGTTACAGTTATAAAAAGCTCAGTCTACTCTTGATTTTCAGGGTATTTGTGTCGCAGTGGCAGCCCTGATGCAGTATTTTCTCATGTCAGCCTTTTGTTGGATGCTTGTCGAAGGAATTTATCTTTACCTGTTTGTTGTCAAAGTTTATAATATAAATGAGAAGATGGCCATGTACCATGCTTTTTCCTGGGGTAGGCTCTTCCACTATTGCAACAATTATTAAAGGCGATATCAAGTTTTCGTTATCAAAATGATATTGATACGTGGTAATCTCATTGTCTTTAAAACTTTCCTTTGTGTTAATTGTAGCTTTTCCAGCTGTTATGGTCAGTATTTCGCTGTTAATTGCTTCAGCGAGGGACGAAATCGGTAGTTTTGTCAGCAAAGAATAGTAAGTATCTGTATGTATCTATTTAAGTTTCATTATTTATTTACTTATTAAGACAATTCAGACCATTTCAGCTTTAGAGCTAGTTTATTTGGGGACTATTTATAAGATAACATGGCCAGATCACCACACCGGGAGCCACGTTCTCTACACTTTGCAACAATTGTGAGTGAGTTCTGTATCTTTCCCTGCTAACCAGCACTGAGAAAATGCAGGAGACCGGGCCTACGGTTCATCGACCTTATCCTAGAAGACTACAATGTCTAACTATTCGCAGATGTCATAGCAAAGGAAACACATTCTCCTCCCCCTTCTCTCTTCTGTTTCAACTTGTGATGGCTTGATTAAACTTCAAGACTAATATAATTATGTAATTTGTGTCGTGAATAAGCTGCTGGCTCTCCAACGCAAATCATTCTATCTGGATATTTGCTGTTTTTGTGGTGACAGTGGAAGTTGTAAGTAGATCACAATTTTGAAACATAGCTGATAGTCTCATTAAAATTTTCAAAATCCAAAAACTCGCAGCAAGATGTTGTTCATACTTTAATGTTGGGAAGACTTGTATTGATGAAGGATGTATTTGAATTAAAAACAGCGGGACAAAACTGGCCTATAACGGTCCAAAAAGAAAGGCCTGTTTGCTGTGCGGTCTTGGCTAAAAAAAATACACATTCTCTTTATTTGTCTGAATTTAACAGCCGTTGATATCTCAATCATAAATTAGGAAAACGGTAAAGAAAGAAGCACATGAACACAATAGCTTTCCTTGACCGTTGACTGTAAGGGCTTTCGGGAAACAGGCCTCTTGACGTGCAGACAACACTCTCCTTGAATCCTACAATAAAACATCATGCTGCTTACTGATGAATAAACAATCACTAAATTTTTAAATATAAATATCGCATTGTCTTGTTGTGATTGGTTCACTGAACTTCAGTTATCAGCTCTTATTCCGAGTCACCTTATATGGAAATGCATAAAAACAACTATTCCATTTGCACTCGTTCGATACCAAATAGGCTGTAGCCTATAACGGGCTAGGCGCCTTGTTGGCTTTCTACCATCTCATATCCAGCGCGTTCATGGAATAATTGTCAAATAACTGGGGCTCAGACTGAGGTCAACAGGTTAGTAGCTGAGTAGTTGTTGGCAATTACACATGAATGTTTAGCCTATTTTAAATATTACTATTTTGTAGCTCAACTTGTTAATTCTGGCCAGAGTTGTAAAAGAAATGTCCGGAACACAGCCAGCTCCAGGAAATCATCAGATAAGGTAAGAGTAAAAATGAACGTTAGGGACCGGAAAATGAGAACAATAACATGAACAACAATAAAAACAATAATGACAACAAAAAAACCAGCTTGTTTGTTATTTCTTCTTATTTTGTTTTTGTATTGCTCTGTTTTTTGTTTTTTATTGTTGTTTGTTTCTCTGTCGTTTCTTTTTTTTTTTTACAGACTCTGCATCAAGACATGCGCAGTAATGATTCCCTTGCTGGGTGTCACGTGGTTATTTGGTATCTTTTCGACGTTTCACAAAGCTTTTGCCTATATCTTTACTATCTTCAGCGCAACTCAGGTAAACCATTGTTATGTTTTACGAGACACCATTAGTGAGCTTTTTAAATAAGCGAACCTCAAAATCAACAGCCTTATCATTTTTAAGCTGCTCGCATCATAAAGAGGTGCATCTTATTCTTTTTACAGGGATTTCTCATTTTTCTATTGCATTGTGTACGAAACACTCAGGTAAGTACAAGTGGTTTTGTTAATATTTTTAAATTAATCTTTTAGCTTGATTTTTATTTCAATTATTGACGATGATTTTATTCAAAGTACAAGTCACAAGAGAGACATGAGGCTCAGTTAAATGAAAAATTAAAATTGACGCTGTAAGACTCGTTATCTTAACACAGTTACCACCTGAAGGTAATGTATATGGAGAAAACCTACGCTGGTTGTTAATGCGGTGAAAAGATTAGATGTGAAATTATGGTGATAAGCACATTTTAAACTCTCAGAGACTACCTTAGCCTTCTTAAGAATTGTCTTCTAATGCGCAAGTCACCCACTGAACCCAAAATTTTCAATCGTCATAAGCAGCCTGGCCGTATAAAGAAGTCGTAACATAGGTCCTTTTTGCCTGAGGGTCCTTTTGAAGTCTAACTTTTAGGTTCAACTTTGGAAGATCATAGCGAGTAATTTTCAGACACCTTATTTCCAGGCTGAGACTAAAAATTTCATGATATCTTTTCCTTTTTGCAGATTAAAGAGCGTTTGAATAGAAAGTTTAACGCCGTATTTCCAGCCACAAATTGACAGAGATCTGACAATAAATATTCTCAATTTTATAAAGTGATGAACCAAAGGAATGCCTGCATCGCACCATATCTCCTATATATAAACGCATCTGTAATCATCGATGGAAGAGATTGGTAGCAGAAAGTAATGAGGTCAATGGAGTGATCTGCCAGTCCTATAGCTGTCAGGGCCATGTTGTACATGAATACAATTTTATAAAACGTTTTCATAGTTTCAGAACCTTTAATCTGAATTGTGCTTTACAAGAAAGTATGGAGTGAACAAGGACCAATAACTTAATTGCATTGAAGCTAAAATTAAAGGGACGGAATGATGAATTTCAGTCATACATATAGGACGTCGCCTCAAAGAAACTTTCTCGGCTTTAAAATGTCTTCTTAAATATCGGGCTCCGCTATAACGCTTTATGCACAAAATAGTTGCTGGAATGCTAGACTAGGAAAACCAGGCTTAAAGGAAATCCGAATAATACCACATGGCTTCATTGATCGGGTACTTAAAGCACTAAAGTCGTCAACCAAAATGGGAGCTGGTTGTCATGTAAATTGTACTTATAGAATAGTTATGATGTATGTAAAACTAGTTAAAGATGACTTACTTTTCTTGTATGTATCTTTGAGAAATTTGCTATACTTAAGATGATAATTCTAAACTTTGAGCAAGTAAACAACTGTACAGATACAAGGACTGATTTGTCTGTCTGCTTGGTTTTTTTCAATTTTTGACTGGCTTCTCAGCTTATCGTCAATTTTAACTGATTGCAAAAAGAATCGAAACAAACACAGACGAATAGTCTTTTCCGACCGTAAAACAGCGAAAAATGAGCATGCAAATGTTTGTAACCTCTTCTAAGATGACTGCCTGTGACACTTAGCAGTTCCTCAGTCATGAGGTTGTTGCCCACAGGGGGGAGGGGGGGGAGCTGCCAGATTGACACACTTATTATTCATAACGAGTAACGCGGCAAATTTAAAGGCGACCTTGCTAAAATTGAAGAAGAATGGGCCAGATTTGCCCTTCCAGACTTTGTGAAACTCGCTCTTCTAAGTTTCAGTGGGCCAAAGGTCCATTTTTTCGCACGGATTTTAAAGTTTGAGGATGAACCTTCGATTTGCTTCAATGAGTAGAATGACAATACATTTGTCAAAACAAGCAATGTCCACCATGTAAATCCACGCACAATTGACGCGAATTTTAACACCTTTGATGCATCACTTATCATACCTTGGCTTTGCCAACCGTGTTAATGAGCGATATCGATGGGAGCTCTTCCAAAAGCATTTTGAAACCGTCTGAACGTTCGTAACTTTTTATTTGAGTTCATGAAAAATCAATAGAAAAGGTTAGCTACACAAAGGTCTTAACTTGGGTTTATACATTGATGAGGAACTATCGTGGAGATACCATATTAATCACATTGCAGTATAAGTGTCAAAGATGACAGGTATAATGGCTAAGGAGGGACAATAGGCATAGCTGGATATACTATATAACCTACACGTTCCTACTATGAACCTACACATGAAGAAAATACTAAAATCAAAATCAAAGTAAAATATCTGAGTTTTTTCCTATTTTCTCCACAGTTTTGTCCCACGTAACCAACTTGACTCGTTAAGCCAATGTATCACTTTCGGTGAATCCATTAAGGCAGGTCACATTCTGAGGACAGGGATTACTAGAACACGAATTCTGCAGGGATAGATTTATTTCTTGTAGCGTTTTAACATAAAAAAGACCAAAAAGAACAAAAGAATATGCAATCGAGTATTATGAGAATTAACTTCATTCTCATTTCCTCTATTCAGATCCCCATACTTATGTAATCCAGTACATATATTCTTCTTGGGGTTTAAAGTCATCATGATATTGGGTGTGGTCAGAATCACTCAGTTGACAGGCTAATAATCTATGATATGATGGGTTTATTATTATTGTTATTATTATTATCATTATTCTTTGGGGATTGAGAGTGAGGTTGTCGCCATTAATTGAAAGACATTGGTTTGCATTTATTTTCTTCTTTCTATTTTCGAAACATTTAAAAGTTTAAAAAATGAATAGAATAGGAAAGAATCAGAAGGATGCATCCTGCAAGTCTACGTAAGTTGAAGATAACATGATAGAGTCGATAAAAAAGAAGTCTTTATAATTATTATTTTACAATAAAATACCTTTAAGTTCTTTTAATTGTAAAAAGGTTGCCTGACAATCAATGCAAGACAAATTATCAGAAGAGGCAAACAGGCATAGCACACATCCATGTGAACCAAGCAGCGTCAGGCTGGGAATCTATTTAACAAATAGAGAAGCCTTGATTGGGCTCTGTTCTGTTGCAAAATGTATGAGCTCCATGAAATATATATGAGCCTAAAGAAAATACCTGATCATCAAATCGTCGTTGAACGGTTTTTAGTGATCGTTACAAGTTTTATTTGCAAAAATGTTGTTTGCATGCACCTTGTAAGGCCTACAAAAATCACCAAAGAGCAGAATTTGAATTAATACGCTTTTTTTCTGGTGGATTGGGCCGACAATTTCACAGACTTCTATCTAGCCTTTTTCCGTAGGTGAAATTTCGGAACAAGCGAACCGGAAAGCAACCACAGAAGAACCAAACGAAGGTTTGTAAACATACCAAGCGTCGTAATTTACATTATTATAACGTAAGCAGAGACGAAAGTCCTCACTCGCGCTCTAGCCTCTTCCTTCTTGCGTTGCAGTAGAACAGAGCCCACTAAAGGCTTCTCTATTTGTTAAATAGATACCGAGCCTCACGCTGTTTGGATCACATGAATGTGTGCTATGCCTTGTAGCCTCTTGTGATAATTTGCCTTGCAATGATCGTCAGGAAAAAGTTTTACATTTAAGAAGGAATTTTATTGCAAGAGAGTTATTCAAAGACTTCTTTTGTTATCAACTCAACCATCGGTTTCTTCAACGTGCGCAGATTTACAGGATGCATCCTTTGTTTCTTTTTTACTTCATTCATTTTTTGAACTTTTAAATGTTACGTTTATAAAGAAGAAAATTAATGCAAACGAATGTTTTTCAATTGGTTGCGACAATCTGACTCTCAATCCCCAAATAATAATAATAATAATAATAATAATAATAATAATAATAATAAACCATCATATCATGGCATACCAAGGGTACACGGTTGGGCATTACGCGAGGGCTTCAAGTGGGCTAGTAGATGTGAAGCCGCGTAAGCAAATAATTTACATTCCGCGTTTTGAGCAGGAAATCAAACTGGTGAGGTTGTGGTTAAACAGTAATTCTCAGTATTTTGCATTTTCTAACCAACTCGCAACAATACCGGCAGAGCTAACGCTTTGTCAACCGGAGGAAATTGTTATAATTCCACTTCGTGAAGAAAGGGTTTTGAGTGAAAATTGGCTGGAACGAAAGAGACAGAGCGACCAAAGAAAGCAAGAGGTTAAAGGCGTAAAGCGAGTCAAGAAATACGCGCTAGAAAGTTGGAAAGGATGCCGAAAAAAGGCAGAATACGGCGAGAAGAACGCGAAAGAGAACAAGAGAAGCTAAGGCATACGTAAAAAGGGGAATATCTAGCGAAAAGCAACGCGAGAAGGAAATACAAAGAGCTCCAGAAAATAGACTGATAAGAGGTCATCAACAAAGAGAAGCGAACCACAAAGGATCCGAGGAAGAAATGGGGGTAAGTCGTTTCTTATCTAGGTTTTCTCTTACGCTAAGATTAAAACCGTTTTTCACCAATTGTCGTTTAGTTCTAGCTTCGGTTTATAATTCAAATCACGTTTCGGTAAAACCTTCCGCCGGCTCATCGCTTTAATAAAATTTCAAAGTGTTCGTATTCTTTAAGTTATTTCTTGTCCCATTGTTTAGAATGTTTAATACACTCGTGGTCCTCGTGGTGTTAAGGGAAAAGAAGTTATCTTAAGGATTATGTTTTCAAATGATAGCGAACGGCGTGAACAAGTTTCTATCGCTCTCTCGTCTGTTAACTATCGCAAGGTTTACTCTAGTCATTTAAAAAATCGCACTTCATCGAAGATGTGTTCTTTTACCTTAAAAACGAAGTAATGGCCTCTCCCAAAATTGAAATAACATGAGACTGAGTCAGCGATGTTTATGTTTACATTAAGTCTTACGCGGTAAGAAAATTTGAACACCTTGTAAGGAATAGTATGGGGACCAAAATATGGTCGATTTACAACGACAAATATTTCGAAATATGAACATTTTACACGTATAATAAATAAAACTTACACATATCCTGTGTCTTCCATTGTAGTTTCTGGCGATTTCTGCCGTTTTAAGCTTGCTTTACCATCGCTGTTAGTCAGTGATGGTAAAATGTGTAAAATATTCATATTTCGAAATATTTACCGCTGTAAATCGACCAAATTTTCCAACGGTTCCTCTCGTAACTTAACACCGAGTCACACAACACGTGACGCTTTCATGAATTAATCGTTGGCTTTTTCTCGAGATGTGAGCTTGGGCCACATGTGGTCAAGCATCTGAGATTTGAATTACAGACCGCAAATGTATAGTGCAAACAAACTCACAGGTAAAGTGGAGTTACTCCTACCGCAGGAAGAGTGAATTTCATTGTTTAGTCGTGGTTCTTTTCAGCGCTCGATTCGCTCGAACTTCAGGAAATTTTTTTTTGTCATGAACATGGAACCACTTTCTCTTCGCTCACCATCTCCAGGCGTATTTAATGCTCGGGTTATGATGAACAAGCTTGCGATGCGATAATTTTTTCCTAATGCTGGAAACTGGAGAATCAACCTCTGAAACTGATGGTCAATAGTGGGCGTCTACAAAACGAAGACCGAAGACCGAAGACCAAAGACCGAAGACCGAAGACCGAAAAACGAAGACCCTAATTTTTTTTTCCAACTAAAAAAAAGTTTGCAAATGAAGAAAATCGTTTCTATATTAAAAGCGAAAAAAAATCGTACATTCATTTCCAAACAAGACCAAATAACGCGCCCGCTCTTTTAATTTTTTGCTCACTCGCAACCCGCTTTAACGGGGGTCTTTATTTTTTTTTAGATTCACACGGCTGTCCTTTAGACAAACAAAGACCTCTATTATTTCGCGTCAATGGGCATCACACAAAGCGTTTTTAGCGAGGGCCTTCGTTTTATAGATTCACGGGTTTTTTTCTACAAAACAAAGACCTCCTTGATTTCGCGTCAATTGGCGTCTGACAAAGCGTTTTAGCGAGGGTCTTCGTTTTGCAGATTCAGGGGGTCTTTTCTACAAAACGAAGATTCCCGTTATTTTCACATCTGTTTGCGCTGAGGAACGCTTTGGCTTGGTTTTTTAACTGTCCGTGCCTTATTCGGGCAAAAAAATTAGAGTCTTCGTTTTTCGGTGTTCGGTCTTCGTTTTTCGGTCTTTGGTCTTCGGTCTTCGTTTTGCAGACACCCAGTCATTACATTTTGCAAGAAGGATCTGAGGGGTGTGATCGTGTAATGAAACGGGTTTCTGGAAGTTTGAGCTCAAAAGCACGCTGGTAATTCTTGCTTACAGTTTTTCGAATTCAAGAGCAGTTTTTGAGAGTCCGTTTCTGTAACCTTCCTGCATATTTTCTGTTGAACTTCTCAAGTTACAATCGTGGAATTTCATGAGGGA